TGTGTGTGTGTGTGTGTGCGCGTGCGTGTGCGTGTGCGTGTGTGTGTGTGTGCGTGAGCGCGTGCGTGCGCGCGTGGGTGCATGCGTGCGTGCATGATTTCATGACCTTTATCATATTATGTCGCATCTATGATAACATCTATATATTCAACTTATGTAAGCACAATTCATGTGAATCAGATATATAGCACTTAAAAATGTACAAGATTCTTATTGCTTTAAAAAGTAATATTACTTAATCATTCTATCCTATATTATGCTATACGGTGCACTGTGCTGCACTGCAACGCACTTGACTACACTACATCACATCATACCACATACCACACCACATCACACAACACTACACCATACCACACTTCAATACGCGACACCACACTAAGCTTAATAAGAAGAAATCCTCATCATCTGATCTTGCCGTTTCTCTTTAAAAATTATCTTGAAAATCCCTTATTACCTTTCATATTTCTACTCCTGACATACATACAGAAAGCACGTATTGTGAATAATTACGAGAACAAATTTACACATTTGGAAGCAACCCCGATCATTAATACTCATCGTCTGTGCCATAGCATGCGCACGCGCATACTGATTAGGCAAAGTGCTATCGACGACATATTAGTTTGATTGCTAAAGAACAGCTAACAATAACCTGATGGAAATTTAGTAATGCAGTCTAGCTAAAGAAATATTATTACGGTGGTAATGTTCACACGCGGATAATACAGCTATGAACCGCTACTCTCAACTGTCTTTCATAATTATATAAATTCAATAGCTTAAACACCGAGTATGTTTTTCACAGGTAATTATCATCCAGTTTAAATTATACTAAGACAAATTGCAATAATTAATTAGGCAAAATATGCGGCAGTTTCTTGTTACATACATAAGTGTGAACCAGAAGTGATTATTAAGCCTTACCGTCGAACAATTAACCAGCTAAGCATGAAATCAAAACGCAAACCATGTTACTCAATTACATTAAAACGCAATCATATAATATGCACTCACAGCGCTATAAGTATACATATAGACCAATATAACTCGAGAGTCTATCCATACGTGATTTTGAAATCGTACATCATACCAGGAGGAAATGACTACGGATATGACTTATGTTTGTGACTACGTGTTATCAAATTTCCCTGATTATATTACACACAAATGTTTGCACGCAAATACACTAAAGGCTACTTTGGCCTTAAAAATGGAACATGAATACCAAACGGAAGTGTATTTTAAAGTAGTAACTTGATTGCAGTTATGAACGACAGCAATGAGTTATCGATAAAAGTAAAATATAATCGTATGTATGTACCTTTTGGAATGTTGCACCGCTCTCTTTCCTTTTCAAAGCTAGAAAAGGTGACAGCTATTGCTTGTGACATCTTCTGATTGGTTCCAGGTGTGAGGGGTGGAACCGCACTCGTTGTATCTGCACAAAAATAAAATCACAAATTGAGACGGTTGCATATTATCACAAGTACGTGAATAGAAATAATCTATTCATGTACTCATTGATATTAACATTACCTTAATAATTAGTCAATACACGTGTAAGCACAAAATAATTCCACAAACATATCATGTTGTTTGCACAGCTAATCCATTTTTACGCCAATTGCGGGAGAAAAAACTGTATCCAATAATAGTGTACAAAGAGCTTTTCTTTGGTAAGCATCAACACGCGCACTGACAATAAGCCACTAGAAGTCGTGAATAAATGCAGCACTCGTTTTACCAACATTCGTGTAAAGCGCACACGCGTGCAGTGCCTTACACGCGCGCACTCAGCTGCACACGACCATATTACGACGTCGTACAACGCAGAAAACACACACAACAACAAAACTACAACGATATTCGCAATCATAACAAACGAGCGTTTTCTTGCCGAACTTACTTATTCTGGTATTGCTATTGAGAGCACCTTGTAGCAGAATCATTCTAGATTTGAGCTTGGAACCCATTCAGACACTACTCGCACGAATTTTGCTGCGACGTCGCACGCGCCATGCGATAACACACACACACACACACAGACGTCCTGCGGTTTACTCCTATGTATCAGGTACGGGTAAATTGTTAGGATATCACACGCAGCTCGCACCCGCGTATAACTCTCTCCTTGCACTGTTTGCACTTTGAGACGGCTATACAAGCGTAGAACTACGCCCGACATACAGCACTACGAGAACGCGAGCATCTCGTCATATCGGTGACGTAACAAATCGCGGTTTGCTCACGCTGACGACAATTAGAAATCGACGATCGAGTTCCGTACGAGAAAAACGGCCACTTCCAGTGTTAAACACGGCAAGCGCGCGTGTCCAGCGAACGTACGTACACACACACACACACGATATATCCACACGAACGAACGCGCTCGCGCACTCGAGAAACGGTGCGACCGCGAGAGATCGGGAGCACACAGGTGTTAGAGGAAGTGCAGACGTTGAGTGACAGGATGTCCAACGTCCGCTATCTGTCGCGCATCCGCTCTGGGCTGGCACACGCTAGCTGCTGGCCCGGGGATCGTGTCGTACGTCTTCGCAGAACTGTCGCCGAGTGCGCGCGCGTGCCGTGAGACACTAGCACACTCCTATCTCGTTCTCTCTCTCGCGCGCGCGCTCTCTTTCTCTCTGTCTTTATCTCTATCTTTCTGCATCTCGTCGGCGGGAGTACGCGCGCGGGTGCCCCCGACGCGAGGTCGGAGATGCTTTCTCTGACTATCTACTCTCTCGTCCTCTCTCTCTCTCTCATTTCCTCCTGTCTGTCTTTATCGTCTATCTTTGATTTTCTCTCCTCGTCTCTCTCGTCTCTTCTCGGTCTCTCTCCTTCTGTCTGTCTTATCTGTATCGTTTCCTCGCTCCCTCTCTTCCCTCTCTCTCTATCTCTGTCTCTCTTTGTGTCTCTTTCCCTCTTTCTATCTATCTCTCTCTCGCTCTCTGTCGCTATCTCTATCTCTCTCCTCCTTTCCTGCGAAGCCAGAACGCGCAATCGGTCCATCTCGACCGTCGCGCACCGCAAACGCACAAGGCACACCACACCGCGGTTCCCGTGATATAGCCGATACCGACCACGTATACACACGGTGCGTCAGCCAACGAGTCCACTCACCGCACGGACGCCGGACGCCCGCGCTCTGGCAGCCGTGGCCCACTCACCTCAACGACACTCACTCACCACACACTCAGCTGCACTCACTTCACTCACGCATACGTGGAGCGTGCGCGCGCGACGCCACTGCTTTGCATACTTCATATTCGGAGGAATCAAAGCACGAGCGACGGCTCATCGAACGAAGCGCACAAACATCCTGAGCGGTCATGCACGTTTGCTCACAATATTTAGAAAGGTTCGCACACGCGCGCGCGCGCAAGAGCACGGGTGACTCGTCCGAGAGAAACACCGACCGACGGGCCGACCGTCTCCGTTGTTGTAGTCGAATATCTCGCCTAACTCCGATCGTCGTCAAAACAAACAAAGCGATCTCTGCGCTCCCGCCGATGACTAATATATATATATATATATATACGGCATTTATCGACTTTCACTTTTTAAGCGGGGAATCACCACCACCACTGTCCGTCTGAGTTCGGTAACCAGCGAGAGAGAGAGAGAAAGAGAAGGGCAATCCCTGCGCAGTTCTCTCTGCAAGCGCTGTGCCAATGCATTCACGCCCAGGCTTATCTGCGAGCCACCACTAGCCACCAGAGGAAATGTAACCTGGATTTCTCGCGGCCGCGGCCGCCGTGTGTGAATTCATGTTCACGACCAATGGCACCCGCGGCGCAGCGATTGTTTCTGTGGCAGCGCACGTTGTGCCAATGGATTAAAATATTCAAAGCGTAGCTTCCTGTCGCTGCCGATGGAGCGCACAAATCGTAAACTGTTGCCGGTCCCTTAATGCAGCAAGCCTGTATGTAAACCGACACAGCCGACAAACCCACCGTACACTATATCCATATATATATATATACGTATAAAATATATATATATATATACTGTGACGTCAGTGTGAACGAGCAGACACCGGGCCTCTGTCCGTAATATATGTGTGTGTTGTGCCGTGTGCGTGAGGCGTGTGCGTGGTGCGTGTGCGCGTGTGCGTGCTTTGTGCTGGTTTGTGTGTGTTGGTGTGTGTAGTTGGTAGGTGTTTGGTGTGCAGTAGCGTGAACGGATGGAGCGCGGAGTGGTGGGCGGAGTGTGCGTGAGGTGTTATGTGCGGCGTAAGCGTGGTGCGTGTGTGGTCCCGTCTGCGTATGGCGTGCGTGGTGCGCGTGTGCGTGCGTGCGTGCGTGTGTGAGGCGTGCGTCGCGGCTACGGCGTGGTGTGCTGAGTGTGAAGGTGATGTGTGGTGTGTGTGCGTGTGTGGTGTGTGATGTGTGTGTGGATGGGTTAGTGGTGTGTGGGGTGTGTGTGTGGTGTGGGTGGTTCGTGTGTCGTGGGTGGTGTGGTGTGCTGTCGTGTGGTGTGTGCTGCGTGCGCTGTGAGCGGCGGTGCGCGTGTGTGTGTCGCGCGGACACGTTATATGCTCTTATACTTTATGGTGGGCACGCGCCGACAATACGGGGACATAGGTTTGTCTTATACATACGAAAAAGGTAGCAGGAACTTTTAATGAAAGCGTTTATAGTGGATATGAGATGACGGGAGAATAGTAACAGTAACCTCGGAATTGACTGGTTTGCTTTTCAGCGAGTAGCCGTTTGAAACTATAGTGCTGTCTGATTGCGTTAGAATGAAGAGCCATGTACGAACGATTATGTGTTTCGATTTTAAGGAAAAAGGCGTCTAAAAAATGCGCAAGCCCTTTTACAAGCTCTGTCGAGACTTACGGTATAAATATTAAATGGCTTTACAAAGTAAGAGTAGTCTTTCAAGGTAATCCTATTATAAGATATGCACGTATTCGCAAAAAATAAGCTCAAAATCTTTCAAACTGAAACTAAACACTATGCTACAACTACATCGACTTACACACGCGCGCGCGCACGCACGCACGCACGCACGCACGCACGCACTCACTCACCCATTCACACACGCACGCGCACATACACACCCACGCATGCATCACGCAGTCACATACCACGCACATACACCCACACATCCCGCACAAACTCTCTAACCACGCGCCAATGGTTTGCATGCTTTATTTCACAACGGCCTCATATATTGATAAAAGTCGGCTACCATTAACATTGGCACTGGATTAACGCGGGGACTGCAAAGCATTGCTGTAGTTTTCCGCCGAATTTAAATCCTTACTGACACGGCTTTATGAAATGACGACTTATCTTGAATCTTTTCGGTACTTCATAATCATTACAATGATAGCGCTCCTTACAATCTGATAACACGCACGTATCGAGCGCAATAACATCCGAACACCACCCGGCGTACACAGGAAATCCCTGGGGATATATATATAATATATTATATTGGAAAAACTTGTCTCTTGAATTACCGGGCTATTTAGATCATCGGCTAACTTTAATTTAACCCCGTATATACGCCCCCCCCCCACACACACCTTATACAAATAAGAGTAGTAGTACAGTAAATACAGTAGTTTGGCAATAGTTTTTTTTATTATAAATCATCCATCGATTCCGTTTAACGATATCCGGCTTTCGCGCGATAATACATAACCGTGGGGCCGTGAACACGTATACGCAAATATATAATAACAGCGAATTTAGCGCGAATAGCCGCGAAAACTTACAGGCTGCATGAGGCGCGTTCATCACATAGTCCTTGTACGGCAAGTCCAGAACACTACTGATCAATGTTACTCCTTCGAACGCCACCATCCTAATACGCGACTGAGGCCCCGGCGCGTCCTTCTTTTATTTATACCCCTCTCATCAAAACGCCGATGACAGATAGACCACTAAGAGGAGGAGGCGGAGGGAGGAGAGATGATGCGATGGCATTTCTCTCCCGACAAGCACGTGACTCGACGCTAATGACTAAACCTATCTCTCGGAGAGCTTACGGTTTTTGCTACGCGGTGGCCCATCATCGCTATTGTTTAGCCCGTTTTCTGCTACACTTGCTTTTGTTGTCGCGATCTCGCGGGCTATGGGAAAATATTCGGCGGGCCACGCCGACAAGCGTTGGTCGGGGGGAGGGGGAGGACCGTTAGCGTCACACACGCCGAGTGTGAGAAACAGCCGACATTCCCACAGTGGATGCAACAGGTGAAACTATGCCTCAGCGCTGAAGCAGCTGCTGCATTAATGGCATTATCAGCGCGCCGAAGGGCAAAGCCGCGTACACACACGTACCCACGGAGAGCTGACATGGCGGCGGCGGCGGCGGCGTGCGTGTCAGCACCGCTCCGAACCATAAATTCACAGATGAATACGCGCGCGCTGCCTTAGATACCGTTACTTAGACGTATGCCCTCATCGGTGTGAACGCGGGGCG